TTTTGTTTACTTACCTCCTTTCTTCTTGATTTTCGTTACTACTTTAGTAACCCACTTTAATTTTTTAGCTTGGCTTGGGAGTTTTGGTAGAGAAGGGATTTGCAACGACAGACGAGGAGTTAAAGTAAAACGTCCAGACAGCTTGGCGTCCATGTCAAAATTGAAGTTCCATTTGTTTGTTGTTTTTGGCTTTATATGAAAAAAAAAGTGTTTATATACCTTGTACCTCTTATTTGGTACAAAGCAACTATGAGGGTTCCTTGTTCGATCGTTTTCATTGTTGTTGTTGTTGTGCACTCGCTTGCTCGGTCTTTATTTGTTTGTTTATTTGTTTTGATAGCAATTAATATAAATAATCACAAGCAATCATATCTGAATGGTCTATTGATTATAACTTCTACGTAGATGTTACCTTTGTTAGTGATGTCTTACACCAACCTGACGTTGAACACTCTCCCTTTATTCCTACATTGCTTATTCTTAAGCTATACGAGACTGCAAGCTGCGTAGTGAACTGTAGAGGAAGCACACGGGTAAAATTTTCATTTCATTTTTTAAAGAAACCAGAAAAAGAAAAAGACAGATAGAGCGATTCGCGGTCGATGAACATTTAAAACCTGTTAAAGCATGGGATGAATACTGAGACCTTTTTACCTTGGACGTAATTTTTCCCCATTCCAGGCCACGTGCTATTTCTCGAGAGTAATATTTCTTTGTTTAAGAATTCACCCATGAAAAGACACATGAATATGGACACACCGCAAAGATTTTTTTTCAAGAGAATGGAACGTCCAAGCTAAAGAGGTCTGTACCCAACTCCCCTGCCCGAATCTCAAGCCAGGCACTAAATTAAAAAAAATTTTTGTTCATATGTTGCCGTTTTAAATGGATTAAGAATAAGGACATTATTGATATCGAATGACTTAATAAGTACAATTTTTTGGGAATAGGTTCGAGTGTTTCATACCTTCTTATAGATTTTAAAACACCGATAAGCAAAAAAGGGGAGCAAAATTCCATTCAATAAGTTTGTAAAAAAATTCCAAAAAATTAGTAATATTATGCAGCTATTTCAAAAGAGGTTGAAGGGGCGAACGGAGAAAGGTAATAAGCGATAGGAGATTCCAAGTTCCAAGAATAGCTGGAATGACTTGTGTTTTATATTATTATTCTTGTCAAGAACGAAGATGTTGTTGTTTAGATATTTAGTGTCGTTCGTAGTTGACGAAACCATTTAAAAAAAACCTCGATTACTCGTGTTAGGATATTTGCCGTTCTCCCCTTCAACGTTTTTATAGCTGTATACGAAAATGACTGAGGAGCTCACTATACACATTCCTTACCTCTGCATTAATGTTTGCAGTTGCATCGAGATTGAAAAAGATTCCAGTTGGAATACAAAAAATGAATATGCATAAAACGAATCTTGCAAGTGATTTCGACGGTACTATACTTTTTTCCTCAGAAAACGAAAGTCTGCAGAGGAAAAATTGAAAACAATTAATAAGATACTATGCTAAACACCATGCTTCTATATTACGTATGATTACTATTGTCTATAATAACCACACAAGTCTATTGTCATTTTTCTCACCGTTATCAGTCATGTACGGCTTTCTGGAAGAGCATTATTAATGAGAAGGGTGTTTAAACAAAGTCACCACACCACACCACACCACACCACACCACACCAC